GAGAATGCCCCTTTCCCAAAAATTCCCCCTGAAAAGGTGATACTTTTTACTTATATTTTAAAAAGAATAATCTAGAGTAAATGTATTGTGTAGCTAAATAGAATATAAATGTGTCCATTTATGCTTTTTTATAATATTTTACAATAAAATGATATATTATCTATAAAACATAATATTGTTTACCATATATAATAAGGTAACTTACAGTTAGCCAAAGAACAGATTTGCACTGTTGCATTTTTCATTCTTTTCACGTTAAAATTTTTGAATAAAAAAAGTGTAGTATAGGCAGTGTAGTATAATGTTTTGCACCAAGTTAATCTCCCTCGAGCGCTCTGCACTTCTCGTAAACCACTGACGACGAACTCAACCTTTATAAAATTTGAAATTTCCGGGCGCGCTTTGAGCGCCTGATTGGCTAGCGCCAGTCTTACCTACATGCAAATGAGGGCACGTTCCACCCGCCTGGAGACCAGAGCGTGTGGAAGTGGAGAGGAATGCATTCGAACACTTTTGAGCCCACGAAAAACAAGTTTTTTTAATGTCCCAACAACGTTAAAGAACCATTTTCAAATTGGAAGAAAAACATCTTTATGTTTAGCGGAACTTATTACTGCGTTGGCATTGTATCATTTTTAGAACATTTTTGAACTGTTATGAGGCGAGAATGAATAATTCGGAGGACAGCGGAAGCAAGTGCTCGCCTGCCCCCATTTCAAGCTTCACGATCCAGTCCATTCTGGGCACCTCCAATGAGGGAGTCCGGTCGGCTGGAAAGGACAGCCCCAAATCGCAGCCGAGGAAGCGGACGTTGTCCGTGTCATCGGAGGACGACTGCAGCGCCGGAGAGGACTCGGGCGACTGCTATTGCTCTGAGCCCGGTGTACCAGAGTCCTGCAACCCGCACCAGCCTCTGAACTTCTCCTGCCTCGGTAAGTGACGATACCGTCAGTGTCTTTGCATTGTTATTATGAGACAAACGTTACCGCCATGGTCAATATCTATGACATTTCTGATGTCATGATGTTTAGTAAGAAATTCACTTTTATAAATCGTCTCACTTCAGAAGCAGTAAGTATATAAAACATGAACTGTTTGTTGTTACTGACTGTTGCTATGTTGTCCCAATTGCGACTGTATTGTAATGTTGTCCCAATTGCCACCACTAGAAAAAAACTCCAGTAGTGTTTTTATCCGACATATTATCGCGCCTCGGTGAACAGGGGAAAGGTCAAATAATTAGCCGAATTTAACCGAGTCTGCTAATTGATTATGCCGGCTTTCAGAGGCAACGCTGCATTTCGTCAATTGAGCGTTAAATGTAATACGATTTAATTAATATCGTGCACCAGTGCTAGTCATATTGTATTGTTTATTTAACAGGGCACTTGTAACCTTTCAACAGTCGATCAAACAGTCAGAGTTCAAATTTAATGAACTCTTGTGTAAAGTATCGAGTAATGGCTATGTTTAGCCTAATAGAAAAAAACCCACCGATTGAATTTGATGATGGACGAATATTCAAAGCACTTTCTGTGCCACACTAAAAATAAACGTGTTTGCAACCATTTATTGAATTCACACATTAGTTATGCATATACTGAAGCACAAAAGCTTTATATAATTATTAAAAGGACTGGAGGGTTGTGTTTTAACAGTACAATTTGATAAGACGAAATTGTTGTGTTGCATTGGTTGCAGGTGCCACAAAGGGACTTCTACCTGTGCAGGATGGGATCGACCGCCGGCCGCATTTGACACCATCCATACTACCGGATTACAAAGAGGAGCAGGAGCGAGCGTGTAGCCAAATGTCTCCAGTTTCTGAAGAGAGACAACGTGATGGCCCGGACAAACAGAGCAGCTCCGCCAAGAAGAAGACGCGCACCGTCTTCTCTCGGAGTCAGGTTTATCAGCTCGAGTCCACGTTCGATATGAAACGCTATTTGAGCAGCTCCGAGAGAGCCTGTCTCGCTTCCAGCCTGCAGTTAACGGAGACACAAGTGAAAACGTGGTTTCAGAACCGGCGGAACAAATGGAAACGTCAGCTCTCTGCGGAACTGGAAGCTGCTAATATATATATATATATATATATAGCCTATATATTCAATTTCATACACCGCTTTCTGTTTCGTGTGTTTATCAGCTCAAGACAAACATTTGTGTTATAGTGACACTGGGTCAAAAGTATCGAGTAATGGCTATGTTTAGCCTAATAGAAAAAAACCCACCGATTGAATTTGATGATGGACGAATATTCAAAGCACTTTCTGTGCCACACTAAAAATAAACGTGTTTGCAACCATTTATTGAATTCACACATTAGTTATGCATATACTGAAGCACAAAAGCTTTATATAATTATTAAAAGGACTGGAGGGTTGTGTTTTAACAGTACAATTTGATAAGACGAAATTGTTGTGTTGCATTGGTTGCAGGTGCCACAAAGGGACTTCTACCTGTGCAGGATGGGATCGACCGCCGGCCGCATTTGACACCATCCATACTACCGGATTACAAAGAGGAGCAGGAGCGAGCGTGTAGCCAAATGTCTCCCGTTTCTGAAGAGAGACAACGTGATGGCCCGGACAAACAGAGCAGCTCCGCCAAGAAGAAAACGCGCACGGTTTTCTCTCGGAGTCAGGTTTATCAGCTCGAGTCCACGTTCGATATGAAACGCTATTTGAGCAGCTCCGAGAGAGCCTGTCTCGCCTCCAGCCTGCAGTTAACGGAGACACAAGTGAAAACGTGGTTTCAGAACCGGCGTAACAAATGGAAACGTCAGCTCTCTGCGGAACTGGAAGCTGCGAACATGGCGCACGCATCGGCGCAGACTTTGGTTGGGATGCCTCTCGTTTTCAGAGAAAATTCGTTGCTCCGAGTGCCGGTTCCGAGGTCCTTCGCTTTTCCTACCCCACTGTATTACCCTGGAAGTAATTTACCAGCTTTACCATTATACAATCTTTACAATAAGATTGAATATTAACTTTTGCGCACAACGAAAATTCCTTGCTAAAGGATGACACATTATTACACACGAAAACGTACAAAATACACATTTAACTATGTTTGACAAAATTCATGTCTATTTATACCTCTTTATTTGGTAAAAAAATATATTTCTTATTATGCAGCAATTACACGAGTGTAAAACACAAAAGCAACACGGTTCTGTATATGTCCTATAAAATACACCATGTGTATAATGATTATTTTGTACTATTATTTACATTTCTGTCCCCCGATTAACCAGTTTTACACATTATAAGGAGTGAAAACATTGAAATAAAAGTGTAACCAGTCGATTCTTGTCTCTAAAATGAAAACAACTGAGATTTGGAAAAAACACTTTTCCAATAATAATAATAATAATAATAATAATTTTTATTTATTGTATTGTATTTATTATTTATTGTAAAGAGAGGTCTATAAAATACAGAACGACTGACAGTAATACCATCTTAAAAAACTGCATGGCACATTTTGATGTGATGCCTTTTCTTCTAAACAACATTTTCCTAATATTTTGATTATTTCATGAGCAGTCTTCGAATGACCACAACAGCAGAAGGCCTCCATGAAATCAGTGAATGAGATGAATCTTTAGTATGGTTAAGTATATAGATACTATATATAGTGTGTACGTGTAATATATATATATATATATATATAGCCTATATATTCAATTTCATACACCGCTTTCTGTTTCGTGTGTTTATCAGCTCAAGACAAACATTTGTGTTATAGTGACACTGGGTCATGTAAAGTGTCCCCAGTTGATGCTTTCGCAATTAGGGATAATTACATGTTGCTTGTCACACGAACACGCATTCAAACATTCTCGGAGACAAGCGGAACGTCAAAAGCGCAGCGGGGCCTCAGAGAAGCCGCAGTCAAGAATGACAGTGCTCGCGGTGCAATCTGATAAGACGCACCCGCTGTCAAATTACAAAGGGTGTAGTGGTGTCATGTTGCACTGATTCCATGTTCTCTATACCTGCCACGGAGAAAGTTCATTATCAACACACACAAGTACTTTTTTCCCGAAATGATGACAACAGTTTGAATGTCACCTCGAAATGTTAATTTTTACCGATTGCAGATTAAACCACGCAATTTTTAATGGAATTTGTAGGAAAATTTGATGTTGCGCACAAATAAACAGTTAAATATTGAGCAGTACATTTTAAATAAAATTGTAGTTACATTTTAATTTAAACATATCAATAAATACCTTCCTTCATTTTTTATAGGCTAGTTGGCGGATATGGTCTTAGAGAAAAAATGTCTCTTTTTAAATGTCATTATTGTTTTCTTTTAAATATTCGTACTTCGTAATTTGTACAGCCTGTTTCGTTGGTTATATATTGGATATTATATTTTTATTGTCGAAATTTCCCCTTCTTTGCATATCCGAAAATTGCAAATGGCCAAAAAAAAAAAAAAACTGAAACATCAGTGACTTCCCTAAAGGCAGGATGAAGAGAAGCTCCTAGCTTGCTAGTAATACGGTTGTTGCTGTCTGTTTGATTGACAGCAGTTAGCCAAAGAACAGATTTGCACTGTTGCATTTTTCATTCTTTTCACGTTAAAATTTTTGAATAAAAAAAGTGTAGTATAGGCAGTGTAGTATAATGTTTTGCACCAAGTTAATCTCCCTCGAGCGCTCTGCACTTCTCGTAAACCACTGACGACGAACTCAACCTTTATAAAATTTGAAATTTCCGGGCGCGCTTTGAGCGCCTGATTGGCTAGCGCCAGTCTTACCTACATGCAAATGAGGGCACGTTCCACCCGCCTGGAGACCAGAGCGTGTGGAAGTGGAGAGGAATGCATTCGAACACTTTTGAGCCCACGAAAAACAAGTTTTTTTAATGTCCCAACAACGTTAAAGAACCATTTTCAAATTGGAAGAAAAACATCTTTATGTTTAGCGGAACTTATTACTGCGTTGGCATTGTATCATTTTTAGAACATTTTTGAACTGTTATGAGGCGAGAATGAATAATTCGGAGGACAGCGGAAGCAAGTGCTCGCCTGCCCCCATTTCAAGCTTCACGATCCAGTCCATTCTGGGCACCTCCAATGAGGGAGTCCGGTCGGCTGGAAAGGACAGCCCCAAATCGCAGCCGAGGAAGCGGACGTTGTCCGTGTCATCGGAGGACGACTGCAGCGCCGGAGAGGACTCGGGCGACTGCTATTGCTCTGAGCCCGGTGTACCAGAGTCCTGCAACCCGCACCAGCCTCTGAACTTCTCCTGCCTCGGTAAGTGACGATACCGTCAGTGTCTTTGCATTGTTATTATGAGACAAACGTTACCGCCATGGTCAATATCTATGACATTTCTGATGTCATGATGTTTAGTAAGAAATTCACTTTTATAAATCGTCTCACTTCAGAAGCAGTAAGTATATAAAACATGAACTGTTTGTTGTTACTGACTGTTGCTATGTTGTCCCAATTGCGACTGTATTGTAATGTTGTCCCAATTGCCACCACTAGAAAAAAACTCCAGTAGTGTTTTTATCCGACATATTATCGCGCCTCGGTGAACAGGGGAAAGGTCAAATAATTAGCCGAATTTAACCGAGTCTGCTAATTGATTATGCCGGCTTTCAGAGGCAACGCTGCATTTCGTCAATTTAGCGTTAAATGTAACACGATTTAATTAATATCTTGCACCAGTGCTAGTCATATTGTATTGTTTATTTAACAGGGCACTTGTTAACCTTTCAACAGTCGATCAAACAGTCAGAGTTCAAATGTAATTAACTCTTGTGTAAAGTATCGAGTAATGGCGATGTTTAGCCTAATAGAAAAATGAATTTGATGAATTTGATGATGGATGAATATTTAAAGCACTTTTTGTGCCACATTAAAACTAAACGTGTTTTATTGAATTTATTGAATTTACACATTAGTTATGCATTTTGTTCACACAGAAGCACGAAAGCTTTATATAATTATTATTAATAGATCGGACGGACTGTGTTTTTACAGCACAATTTGATAAGACGAAATTTTGTGTTGCAGGTGCCACAAAGGGACTTCTACCTGTGCAAGATGGGATCGACCGCCGGCCGCATTTGACACCATCCATACTACCGGATTACAAAGAGGAGCAGGAGCGAGCGTGTAGCCAAATGTCTCCAGTTTCTGAAGAGAGACAACGTGATGGCCCGGACAAACAGAGCAGCTCCGCCAAGAAGAAGACGCGCACCGTCTTCTCTCGGAGTCAGGTTTATCAGCTCGAGTCCACGTTCGATATGAAACGCTATTTGAGCAGCTCCGAGAGAGCCTGTCTCGCTTCCAGCCTGCAGTTAACGGAGACACAAGTGAAAACGTGGTTTCAGAACCGGCGTAACAAATGGAAACGTCAGCTCTCTGCGGAACTGGAAGCTGCGAACATGGCGCACGCATCGGCGCAGACTTTGGTTGGGATGCCTCTCGTTTTCAGAGAAAATTCGTTGCTCCGAGTGCCGGTTCCGAGGTCCTTCGCTTTTCCTACCCCACTGTATTACCCTGGAAGTAATTTACCAGCTTTACCATTATACAATCTTTACAATAAGATTGAATATTAACTTTTGCGCACAACGAAAATTCCTTGCTAAAGGATGACACATTATTACACACGAAAACGTACAAAATACACATTTAACTATGTTTGACAAAATTCATGTCTATTTATACCTCTTTATTTGGTAAAAAAATATATTTCTTATTATGCAGCAATTACACGAGTGTAAAACACAAAAGCAACACGGTTCTGTATATGTCCTATAAAATACACCATGTGTATAATGATTATTTTGTACTATTATTTACATTTCTGTCCCCCGATTAACCAGTTTTACACATTATAAGGAGTGAAAACATTGAAATAAAAGTGTAATCATTCGAGTCCTGTCTCTAAAATTAAAACATCTGAGATTTGGAAAGAACACTCGTCAATAATTATAATAATAATAATAATGTATTGCACTGTATTGTATTTATTTTTTTAATGAGGTCTATAAAATACACAATGATTGACAGTAATACTAGCTTAAAAAACTGCAATAGCACATTTTGATGTGATGCCTTTTTTTCTAAACAACAACATATTTACTGATATTTTGATTATTTATGAGCAGTCTTCGAATGAGCACAATAGCAAAAGGCCTACATGAAACCATGAAATCTTGTGAATGAGAAGCCGCAGTCAAGAATGACAGTGCTCGCGGTGCAATCTGATAAGACGCACCCGCTGTCAAATTACAAAGGGTGTAGTGGTGTCATGTTGCACTGATTCCATGTTCTCTATACCTGCCACGGAGAAAGTTCATTATCAACACACACAAGTACTTTTTTTCCGACATGATGACAACAGTTTGAATGCCACCTCGAAATATGTTAATCGACTGCAGATTAAACAACGCAGTTTTAACGGAATCTAAGAGAAATGTGATGTTGCGCACAAATAAATACAGTTAATTATGAAGCAATAGATACATTTTAAATACAGTTAGTTAGTTAGTACAGTTTTAATTTAAACATCAGTAAACACCTTCCTTTATTTTTCATAGTTGGCGGATATGGTTTAAAAACAGAAACAAATGTTGCTCTTTTTAATTGTGATTTCTATACTATATTTCTTTGAAAAATTCGTACTTCGTAATTTGTACAGCCAGTTTCGTTGGCTATTTGTTGGCTATTTTTTTTAATCAAAGTGTCCCCCCCCCCCCTCTTTCTCAACCTAAAATCGCAAAAAACAAAAAAAACAAAAACTGAAACATAAGTGACTTCCCTAAAGGCAGGATGAAGAGAAGCTCCTAGCTTGCTAGTAATACTGTTGTTGCTGTCTGTTTGATTGACAGCACATACCAGAGGTCAGACTGCTCATGACATACATGCGAGCATAAACTTATGTGACTTCCGTGTAAATTTCATCCTGTGGGTTTTCAGTGTTTTCACATACACTTCCATTCACCGCTTCACACATCCATCTGTAGGTGAAATGGCAGGTGTGAATTACAAATTTTAATAGCACAGCAATGAAAATGATTTGAAGTGGTTTGAAGAGGTGGAAGACAGTGTGGAGCAGATTTGTTGAGATGATGTGTTGTGCCTCAGGATTCATCAAACTTGCCTGGCACAGCGAGTAATTCAGTTTGGGATGTAATTTATGAGCAAGGTAATGGGCACTATATATAAAGCGGAGAGAGAGAAAGAGAGTGAGAGAGCAATAGAAACACAGAGAGAGAGAGATCGAGAGAAATGTTTTTCCATTCTTCTAATATCAGAACTGACATTGGTCTATTAATTTAAAAGCAGTGCTAAATCTAAAAAAACCAAAAAAAAACCTTCAGCATTGCTTCTGTACATTCATGCTGTCTGTCCATATATGTGACCCTGGACCACAAAACCAGTAATAAGGGTCTGGATTTATACATAGCTGAATAAATAAGCTTTCCATTGATGTATGGTTTGTTAGGATAGGACAATATTTGGCAGAGTACACATAAACATACATACATATAAAAAATTAAGTTATTTTTTTTCCTAAGTGATGATGAAAACTACTCAGCTTTCCTAATGTCTTCAATCCAGTGAGGCTGATCACTTATTTCATTAGGAAGTAGAAAGAAAGTCCATTACATTGAGCAAAATCAATAATCATGGTATAAAAGTATCTCATATGGCTGAACCTTTCTCTCAGAGATGAAAGGTGACCACGTTTATCCATTGTTTTTTCATACTGGAAGAGGAGGGGTGAGGGGGTGGGTCATTATTCTATTTAAGAGGTACAATTTTAGTAATGGCTTTTGCTGCAGTCCACAGAGACATAGCCAGCCTCCCTCAATATCCTGAACATTATTTGCTCATTTAGTTAAATGATGTTTCTAATTGGTTCATAATTAGTTGTAATGAGGCGGGCCCGAACGTCTCTGATGCAGATACGTCTTAATTCAACATGGCATCTCGCTTCTTCAGGAATAGTTGCCCATGGTTCTCGGAGGGTTGGAAGCGAGAGGAAGGGTGGAAGGGGGAG